TTATTATATAAAGGGACAATGCATATTAATCAACATGAACACAACATGTAAACATGCCTGATTTGGCCAAATAAAGCTCGTTTTCATCTGCAGGTTGATGGAAAGGATTTAAAAGAATTACAATCAACAACACACAAGACCTACTGTATCATTTACTTATTTTTTATTGCTTTACCAAAGATTTTCCACAGTCAGCAATAATCTCGACATACGCTTTGAATCTTTGTCTTTATACCGTGTGTCCAAGGTTCATATGATCACACCGCTTTGGTTCACAGAGTTCTTTTGTTCCAGCGAGCAATAAATATTCTGCTGCAAGCTGCAGTCACAGCAAACGGAAATGTGACTCATAAAATGCATTTAAATGCAGCACGTTTTCAAATAAAACATCTAAACATCCTGTTATATTTTTATGATTACATTGTCAGGAAGAACATGCTCTACGTGACTAATAAAAATGAATCGATGTGAGATTGTCAGCTGACTTTTAAGCAGTTTGCTAACATGTTCAAAATGCAGCTCAGAAGTTGTATTTTTAGATAAAGTCAGCAGATCCTCAGATCAGCTGAGGTGCACACAGGTGACAATGTTTGCCTGTTATCCTCAAATTAGGCACATTTTCACTTTTACTTGATAACTTTCCCAATACACAGAATTTAAATTTGATACAGATAAAATCATTGCTGTCTGCTCAATGCAAACCAAAACTATAAACAATAGTTTAGCAACAGTAAATGCTTTTAAAAATGCCGAGGCTTGTTGTAAGGTGGAACCCGAGGGCTTTAACTTAAAAACAAAAAGAGGTTCATTAGATAATAAAAGAACAAACTGGTTGGACTGAGACGTGACACAGAAAACAGAAAAATTAAAGGAATCCCCGATTAGTTGTAACATTAGACTTAGGCTATAAAAATACTGTAGGATGTTTAGTTTTTATCATTTTTAAACTAAGTTTAATGGACGGGGCCATTTTATTTACACGCAAAGCATTCTGGGTAAATGATGACGTGGATAGGTCCTCGGTGTGAGCGAGCTATATCCACCTTGAAGGTTAATCTTGGACAATATCTGATGATCGACTCTTTTAAATGAAACCAGAGAGCGTTGACAGAGAGGAGAAGGTAGAAATGACTCAGCCTGGAACTGAAAACATAGATGGAGGACCTCAGTTTAGCTTGTTAGCTTTAGCATTAGCCCCGACACTATCACCATATATATGTATTAGCTCGGCGCTACATATTCTCAGTCGCAGACTGAGTCATTTTTGCGTTCCCCTCTCTGTCATGTGGATGGAGGACCTCAGTTTAGCTTGTTAGCTTTAGCATTAGCCCCGACACTATCACCATATATATGTATTAGCTCAGCGCTAATCCATATTTTCAGTCGCAGACTGAGTCATTTTTGCGTTCCCCTCTCTGTCATGTGGATGGAGGACCTCAGTTTAGCTTGTTAGCTTTAGCATTAGCCCCAATGCTTTTTCATATATATGTATTAGCTCAGCGCTAATCCATATTTTCAGTCGCAGACTG